GAGTTAATTTCAGAAACAATCAGCTGCTTGCTAGTGCCTTCATGTGCCTGAAAATATCTGTAGGTGTGAAAATGTCAAAAACAAAAAGAAAAAGTTCCTATATCAAGCCCACACCTCACTGTGAAATGAATTAGATCAGAAGATGAAATCAAAATTTCCAATAAGTATTTTCTACAGTCAGGTTATTGAAATATTTATTGTTTTTGAAGCAAGGAATTCAAGACAAACAAAAGAAGCCAAAACTCTGAAATTAGGTTGTTTTGTTAGTGGTTTGTTTTTGTTTACAGCCAACAACAGCCCACCAGCTTTGTTCTTTAATTGTCCAAGAATAAAAAGATTTTAGGAAAAAATCTCACAGTTTACAAAGGAAGTCCCTCATCCCACTACACTGAAAATTAAAATAACCCGTGGTACAGAAACAGGACATGTTTTTCTTCTCAAACTTGCCTGTATCATATGTGGATGCTAAGAATTGCTGTAGCTGGAGTTGTTTGCTCCTGGCAAAGAAAATTTCAGACCAAGGAAATCTGTGATATTTTCTTTACTTTTTTCTCTAATTTATCTTTATTTAAAATTATTACAAAACTGATCATTTTTAGTCATTACAAAGACAACTGAATCCACTTCTGAACATTTAATAGCTCTAAGTTAGCAAAAGTACTAAAACTGAATAGAGAAAAGCAACAAACTAAAAAGATTATTCACAATTAAACATGCAAAATGACACTTTAGAACTGAGGCGTAACCAAGGAAATGGGTGAACTTGATTTGAAAATATCAACGTAAAGAAAGAAAGTTCCTGAAGCTACTAAAGCTACAAAGTTTATTTTACCCATTAAGGTCCTAAAGGTCATTGGAGAAAAAAGGAAGACGCCGCTGCCAGAAGGAAGGCAGACAGTCCCCTCCTTTGCTACCTCAGCCTCCATGTTATGTGACTGTGCCTCACACTTCTGGGGAAACTTAAGATCTAGAAAGCTTTGAGAAAAAACGTATATGCACTTGAAAGAAGTAATGTAAGTCTGTCATATTCTCTCTTTTTGCAGCAAATATTAAAGAATTAAGTTATTGCATTCTTCGGGGGAAAGAGGGCAAAAGTTAAATTTGTTATGAACCTGTATCCTCAGGAAAGGAACAGTCAGCGATGTCCATGTCAAAGCACAGTTCGCGGGCTTGAGCTTTGGCATCAGGAACCCCGGCTGTAAGTACAGCTTCCTGCACTCACTGGGTGCATGAGCTGGAGGAAGTTCCCAGAGTTCTCTCACTTGGAATTCTACTAATTCACTCGACCCTTTTAAAATGAAGTACCTTCCTGATAGATTTTTTACAAGTATAATATTAGATGCCTGTGTGAAGTGCTTTGCATAATACTTAGCACCTAATATGATTACTTATTCCTGTTGTGGTAATTAATGGATCACTGAGACTACAAGCACTATCTATTCAACCATTGTTCACATAGAAGCTTAGACCTAAGGCCACTACGGCTTTTCTCATAAATGTACCTCTTGTATTTTTCTCTAATACCTCCCTCAGGAGACAGGAACAGGATCAGCAGCACTAATCACTGAATTAAGATGGTAGGTGGTACTTAATGAATGAATATTGGCTCTAGAGGAGTGGTTTTCCCAAAAGTTCTAAAATACAAAATTTCACAAGTCTCTTAGGAGGTAAGTGTTAACATTTTCTCCACCTAAGGAAACTGGGCCACAGAGACAAGTACTAACTTAGCCGGGGTCATATGGCCAAAAGGTAGACCTGTACCAACAATAAAGGCCCAGAGGCAGACCTGTACCAACATGCAAAGCAAAACAATTAGCATGTGTGAGACACCATATCCCAGCTTAACTTTGAAGGATACGGGTCAACAAGGGTAAGTCCCTAGAATGTACTTTTCATAAGTATTTTTCAGAGAAACATCAGAAAGTATCCTTGTCTCTGTGTTAACAGAAAATGTGTATATATATATATATATATATATATATATATATATATATAACTAGGATTGTTTGCTTTAGTTCTATAAAGTACACTGTTAGAATTTTGACTGGGATTGCACTGAATCTGTATAACAGTTTTGGGAGTATGACAATTTTTACAATATTGGTTCTGCCCACCCAGGAGAGGGGACATTTTTCCATTTTGTTATGTCCTCTTCACCTGAAAGGAGGTAGTTTCAACCTCAGATTTAGAAGACAACAGAAAAGATTTATAAAGAAGTAACTGAAGTCACAATGTCTATGAATTTTATATAACTGATTATAAAATAATGGAAGTATGCACAGTCCTAACAGCTTTACATTCGCTTGTCATCATGTATATTCCAATATGTGTGTGTTCACATACTTCTAATTCCTTCCTAAGAAGAAAGTAATGTGACTTTTAATAAGTGTTTTGATTTACCTTGATTCTTCTTCTTATAGATTCTGCAGAACTTCTCTTTTAGACCCACTACTGTTCTTATAACACACCATTTACTACAGGGATGGCTGTCTCTTTAAGACTCATACTATTTGCAAAAATTCTACTTCATTTGCTAAAGCTTGTTTCACATACAAACTTTATCAGTGGATTGCACTAAGACTTTGCTTATCTCCAATATACTTTACAAAATGTGAGCTACCTTTTTTTATTTCAGTGAAAGTTGGTGTAATATAGACACCTCTATCCTGAGGAGCACATAATCTTTCAGGACTTTTCTGCCACAATCACAGTTCTCTTCTGATATTTCATTGTTGGAAAAAGTATATCCTACTCAACAATAGCAGCTATATGCCTGACGTAGTCCACATTGAAAACAAATCTTCTTTACCTCATTATCCATCAACATGACATTTCGTGTACCACTTTAGAGAATATCTCTACAATCCCAATGTCCATAACTCAAGGGCTTTCAACTTTGGTGAGCTCAAGCCTGCCAAAATGTGGGCTTCACTGACAGTGCGGTAATTTTCAATCTCAAAATACTAAGAAAATTTCAATCTTAAAATCAAATATGTAGGAGAAAGTAGTTAAGCTGTATCAATCTATTTGGCCAACAAAGGTGTCCTCTTAAAATGAGAGAAGACACAGATGATGAAGAAATATAACATAAACTCTTTAGTATGAGAACTTATAAAAACACCTACAGATTCATGACAGAGGAAGTCCCCTCCAATTCATTTTAAACTGAATATATGTTCAGATTCTTCAAAATAGAGCTGAAATAAGGAGTTATGCATAGCCTTATACTGACATATTTCTAAATCTAGACAAATTGGCCAGTTCCTGAGATGATCAGAACTGACCATGATTGCCATGAGATGATCAGAACTGACCATGATTGCTGAGCCATGATTGCCTACAAGGTCTGGCTGAGGGTTGCTGGAAAGGAAGCTCATTTCAACCTGTAGCTTTTGGGGTGTGAGATATGAATAGAAATTAGCACTGAAGCACAGTTTAGAAATCCATTCGATGAGCAGCCCTACTCCCAGATGCCCGCTGCACTGCCACCTGACCCAAAGAGAAGACACAAGGTTTCTGTCAGAGCAAACAAGGCGACACTGATTGAAAACTTCCAGGCAGAGCTCAGTGAGCCACTGAGACTACCCTAAAATCATGAAGAGTAAGTAAAGTTTTCATACTGAACCCTGACTCCCTTTCTTGTCCTGACTCCTTCCAGAATGCTGGTAGTAGGATTTATACCATCACAGGCAAGAGAGGAGCAAGGTCCTACCTTTCTAGTCCTTTCTGTTGGGGTCCTCAAGAAATTATCTCTAGAAGTTTTTCAATCTAAAGTAGCTTGTGATTAATGAGTTATGTCAACGGCTTTTAATTGTTTGGGGAAACATTTAATAAAATATGAGGTTCTTAAAGTGCGTATTACTAGAAGTAGCTATACTATCCACACATGCAAATCACTAACTCTTGTACAATAACCTTAACAGAAATTATCAAAAACTCAAAGCACAAACACACACATACACGAGATAGACTAAGCTCTCACGTGTTTTCTGCACCCACTGCCTTCAAGATAATTGCCTGTAGGTTTTCAGTTGCAAATATCCAGTAGTTAGCTGACAATCTAGACAACATGTGTCTGTAACATATGTACAGTGCCTGATTTATGCAGAAGCATCAGTGCCAAGATGGAAGTTATAGCCAAAGCAGTAGACAAGAGAGTCCAGAAAGGTGGCCTTTAAAAGTACCAGTATTTTAATTTAATCTTCATTTTTCTGAACTATCTTAATTAGCTAGTACCACATTGAGGCAAATTTCTGTTTCGAAAATTAAAAAAAAAGTAAGACCTAAAACACAAATGATTTAGTATAAACTTGCTAGTAACATCGATCTTATATAATGTTAAACAGATGCTTTGAATCTCTTGAATTTAGTCAGCACATGAACCACGTCCGTGGTTTGACTGGATGCTCCTAAGACTACTGCTGTTCAATGCTCCTACAGAATCCTATGTATGCATGAATCAAAACATCACACTGAGCCTCACAATTAGGGACAGATACTGCATGTCAGACAATTTTAAATGACCTGGCCTCCTTAGGTTGTTGGCACTGAAGCACTATTTTAATGGGTTTATTTTTAGTAACTGTACTATTACTGTGTCAATATTTTATCTACATTTGTGTTTTCACCTAGAAAATTCTTACTATAGTATTTAGAAGACTATTAACTCTTCATCAGACACAGCTATTCAGTGATTGCTATTCATAATTTCTATATTCCTAGAAATTACAGGCAGAGTGCATTTAAGACAGGTTCATCCCTCATTGACTCATGCATTTTCCTCAGAAGAAACATCAGTTTATTATCACAGTCATCCACTGCTACAGATGACGCATTCTGAGAAATGGGAGTCTGGCTTTTGTCACTGTGACGCATCACAGAGAAAACACACAATCTCCACGGTGCCGGTCAGTGCCCTGGTGGGAGACTTTGAGGCAATCAAGCAATGCAGGGAATGTAGTGTGTCCAAGGCTGCTGCCAGGTAGGGTGGCAAACTGTTGCGTGGCAACCTTTTCCTATAAGCAGAAGGAATGTATGCTAATACACTGATTAAAATGAGAGGAGTGAATATGTAAACTAGGAAAATGCCACTAAGAGCCACTAATATTTATCATCATTGTGAAGCACGAAGAATGTGCTCTGCTTTGTGTGAGCTCCACTTTTCCACGGCTGCCGGCGCAGTATGTTTATCCACACCAGGCATCTGCGGAATGTGCTACACATAGCATTGCGATGCTGTGACGTCACAACCAAGGGAACATTCTCAGGTCCATTATTTTCAGCTCCTTAGGTGATCGCTACGGTATATGTGTTTCACTGTTAATCACAAGAACATGTCTTACGTAGCATAACGCTTCCCCAAATTTACTCCAGAGATTATGGCAACGCACCCTTAACTAAAGGGACGTATATTCTTCATTATTTCCTTTAATCCTTAACATATCACAGGTAATATCTTGAGTTATATTATTATTCATTAGTTTATTGTCAAAGCTAGAAAACTGAGTATACACTATAAGATAACAAAAAAGAATAGACTCATATCTATGATTTAGAAAATATTTTTTATTCATCTGGATATAAAAGGACTAGGTAACTAGATTTTTCTATTTGATTAAGTCTCAAGAGGAAATGGAAGCCTAAAATATCTTCTTTGTACTTGTATAGAAAACTGGCTGTTTAAAATAAAAAGCATAATTTACTGTAGAAGGATAATGGAAATTATTCATTAAGAGGCTATGTCATGGTATATTTAAAGATGCCTATTTCAATTTTTTCTTTAAATTTATTCAACAATATTTTGAAGGCAGTGTGTTACTGTATTCCTATAGCCTTTCTTTAAAGAAACAAATGAACTAAACTTCTATTATTCTTACATACCTTTCCAGCTTTGAAAATAGCGCCATGCCTACTGACCTGAATTGAATGCTTTATAGGCAAGGATATTTATTCATATCTCTGTATCCTGATCCTTGCTGCCTTCAGAGTTATCTTCTGGCAGAATTTATATATAAAAAGCTACACTGCACAGTTTTCATTGGACCAAGAACATAATGCATTCAGTGTAAACTGACAAAATGAAATATGACATGGTCCTGATGAATTGAGAATAAAGACAGAAGAAACATCTGTGGGTAGAGAAAAGATGAGAATAAACATTTGACAATAGAGATATTAGATGTTGCTTCTGAATCCATTTTAGGTGAGGTTTTATAGTATTTGTATGTGTGCAAGTATCACTACATGTTGATATAATTTATGTAAAAATTTGTAAGACTGTGAGGAAATCCTTATCACTTGCACCAATATTTAACAATTAATTTTTACATTTTGATCAATTTGTTTTATCAATCTATGCTTCCTTCTCCATCTCCTCCTCACCCTCTTTGCTTCATCTCTCTCTACACACCTAGGACACACATGTACACACACACACACACACGTGTGCACACCCGTGATTTCTTGTGAGTTCTTGGAAGTATATTGAAAACATGACACCTCTTTACTCCTACATATTTCAGTGCGCATTTTATAAGAACAGGAACATTCTCTTAACCATAATTCATTATGCAAAATAGTAAAGTATAACACTGATGCAGTATCATTATTTAATCCACAGCCCATAATTGTATGTTACTAATTGAAATGATAATACCCTTTATCACTATTATTTTTCAACCTACCAGAATTTAATATTATATTTAGATATTACAACTTCTTTAGTCTAGAAGGGTTTCTCAACTTTTTGTTGTCTTTCTTGACCTTGACATTTTTGAAAAGTTAAAGTAGCTGTTGTCTGGGAGCATAGATTGATAAAACAAATTGATCAAGCACTCAATTTAAGTTGTCTGATTCCTCCTCCTAGTGAAATTCAAGTCATACGTCCTCAGCAGGGTGCTACGTCTCTTGGCGACACAGGATGTCGGTTTTCCCACAGTTGTAGACATCAGCATTGATCAGGTGGTTACATGGTCCTTGCCTGATTTCTCCACTGTAAAGTATCTATTTGTTCCATTTTAATTAATAAGTAATTTTAGAGGAGATACTTTGTGACCTTACTAACAGCCTGCTCCTATTCAAACTCCACTACTTTTAATCATTGTTGTTTTCTAACTCCATTTTTCCTTCTATGTGTATTAGCCAGCACTCTACTATGAAAAGTTTTTCCTTCTACCCTTTCTTTAATTTGTTGATTCATAGCATAGCCACTTCCAAGTTTCCCATGCCTCACCATTTGCCATGTCCCTGTGTTATTCTGAACTTGCCCCATTATCAACCAGTGAGAGCCCCACCAAGCTGGCTCCTTTTGCATTTTGGATTTCCCCTCCACTCTTTGCGCATTTCATGGACTTTGGGTGCATGACCTTGTAGGATTGCTTTACACTTCCTCTGCCTCAGCCGTGGAATCACCACCTACTCCACAGAGCTGTGACTTCTTTAGGCGGAGAATGGCTTTTCAAGAGTAAGACGAGGGCGTTGAGTGTGCTTCGTACACAGCGGCATCCGTGAATTTACAGTGATCCTTTCGGTTCCCCTCATTCTGATCCATTTGTTAATTTGCTTAAGTCGAGAGACAAACAAAACTAAAAAGTTAGTTTTCAGATTTGTAAACACATACAATTGGTTTAAGTCACTAAATTACATCCAATGCATATGTAAACCAATACGCATCATGAACTTATCATGTAGATATAGATAATTTGCATTTCCAAGAAAATTCCCTTTTCAATCCCCCTATAAAGGCAAGTATTTTTCCGAAAGTTCTTTGCCGTAGGCTATTTTATCTATTCTAGTTCTAAAAGGAGACCCATACTATATGTACTGATTTTTGCTTGACTAGCTTAGCTTAACATAAATGTGACAAATCTGCTTTATCACTGTTGTTATTGGATGAACACTGTACCCATTTTTAAATTTCCTGTAACATGTTTTAGAAATATAACAAAATTACATAAATATGAGAGCACATGGCAACTTGTTTCCAAATATAGTACACCATCAGTATCAGCAACAGCATCTGTAAATGGTACTGACAAATTTACTTTTTCTCCCTGAAGGTTAATGTACTTGGGTAAAAGTATATGAGTATTTGGGGAGCAAAGTAGCTAACACAAGTTCAAGTTAATTTTACAAAGTAACATAGTCTTTAGGCAAAACACTTTATCTACCTGAGCTTCAATTTCACTGTGTGTAAAGAGAGAAATAACAGGTATATTTTCAATGCTGTGGATCAAAGCCAGTGCCTGGTGCATGCTTGGCAAGTTCTCCACCACTGAGCAATACCCTAGCCCTAGAATTTGTATTATACAGAAAGTTGTAGATCAGATGACTTTGGTAAATTGCAAAGAGCTATACGTGTATATACTATGATGAGGTTCACCATAATGGAGTTATAGTAAAAGTTTTGTGAATTGAGCTGCACCAGTTACTGTATTTTGTATGTGACTTTCTTTCACACTTGGAATCTAGCATGAGAAAGGAGCTTCTAAACGGAGGTTGTTAAGTTTCTGGGTTTTCTTTACTCCGATATCGAGAAAGCAGCTTCAAGGTTCAGACAGCTCTCAACCTGGTAATTCAAATACAGACTAATTCTCAAAAGAATATAAGGAACTCAGGGAACCCCAACATATATCTTTGCTGTCTTGCCTAATGTTTCATAATGTAATGATACAATCAGAATTTTCAGCTCTGGTATCAAAATGTCACTCAGAATTTTGAGGGAAGGCCTAAAGATGTCCTCTAATGTCACTGCAACCTTAAATGGTGTGCTTCTTATGCATTAATGTTAGTCGGTATCTTCAGCCTGTGGCTCACCTCGTATGTTAAGCAGATCCGTGTCTGTTCACTCCCAGGGTTCCATGACAGTGCTAAGTTATAACCCACATGAACAGCAGCTGGACTATACTATAATGTTATTTCTCAGTCCGTGAGAGTTGCAGATTGTGTGGGGATATTCTTATAGCTGTCTGTACGATGGGATGTAATCTTAAATTTTAACTTGAGTGACAAAAATTGAACTAAAGAATCTAAGAAATAGAAACTCACTGAAACTACCAAGCAAGCATGGATCCTCCCCATCGCCAGAACTGTTCAGGGAAGGTCAGAACAGAATGGTTTCAGGAGACAGTTACCTCAAAAGCCCTGCTCTACGGGCTCCAGATGATTAAAAGTGACTTCCATTTGTCCGCTTTGCCCAGCCCCTTCTCATTCCCACCTTAAGAAAGCCCACCCCAAAATCAGTCAGTCCTGGGCCAGGATGAATTCTATAACCCTTTCCCCTTTCCAAGACCTTGTATTCATGTGTTGGTGGGATTTTTAATAAAACCAGCTTGATTTTTGATAATGTTTTCCTGGCGGTCTTTCTGGGGATCTCCACACTTTCATGAGGCTCTACCATGACCTATTCAAAATTTGTCTTTCATGACACAAGACCTTATCCTTGGCCATTCTCTGGCACTTGCAAAGCCCGATGGACTCCTACTGAGATTTTTCAAGGCTGCTATGGTGCCTAACCTTTCAGCAACTGGTCTTATGAGCTCTGATCATTATGCTGCAAGCCTCCTTCTGAGTTCATCTTGTATCCTTGATCCTTCCAGAATAGTTTCAGATCTAATCAAATATAGCCTCTCATTTCTCTTGATGAAATCTGTCTACTATCATTTTTGCCTTTCAGTTATTGATGTTTAAGAATGTCACCTTCTATTGCTGCTTATATAAGAAAAGTCATAAGAGATGGAGATCCTCTCTCTTAATGCTCCTCCAAACCTGCTCCAAAAACTAATTAGTCAAAAGTTCTCACCAGAATGTCATCCTCACAATAAATTTTGCCTTGGGTCACCCTTTGAGGCTCTGGAAGAATACACCCACATCTTTGGTTCTTGAGGGGCTCACCCTTAGGAAGATTGATGATCCCCAACTTTTGTCTAACCAGAGTTGTTTGGTTATGGAGATAGCTTGGTCCACCAGGACAGGGTGGATGAATTGAGACCTGGAAGCTTAGCGCTAGACACTTTACAAATACAACTACATTTATGTCATTCATGGGTTGTACAATAGTAACAGTAAGCAACCTCCTAGCAGGTCTGTAGGTTCTTACATTGGCTTACATCACAAGTTGACATCATGTATGTCTCTCTCTACATGGCATAACTTTCTACCAAAACAACTTTAAATCATAGTGACCATTTTGTAGGACATTTGAGATGTCAAAAAGTGTGTTATCATTGTTAAATAGGGAAATAAAGGCAATAAAATTCTAAACATCTGATAAGTGCTTTTCAGTTGATGTTCAGCTGTCCTTAGAAGAATGACAGTTCAAGCTGGTATCCACAAAAGTCACTTTGGAGAGAAAATTTATTTTAATCACAGGTCTACAACTGTCCACAGAGTTCTCATTCCCTTTACATCCTTCTAACTCCTCCTTTCCCAGCCTCCATAAGAATTTCAGT